TTTTTTTTGGTTTTTCGAGACAGGGTTTCTCTCTGTAGCTTTGCGCCTTTCCTGGAACTCACTTGGTAGCCCAGGCTGGCCTCGAACTCACGGAGATCCGCCTGCCTCTGCCTCCCGAGTGCTGGGATTAAAGGCGTGCGCCACCACCGCCCGGCTTTTTAACCACTCTTTAGAGCAGTGGTTCTCAACCTGTGGTTTGAGACCCTTTTAGGGTCAAATGACCCTTTCGCAGGGGTCACATATAAGATGTCCTGTGTATCAGATATTTACATTATGGTTCATAACAGTTGCAAAATTACAGTTATGAAGTAGCAACAAAAACAATTTTATGGCTGGGGAGGTCACCACAACATGAGGAACTGTATTAAAGGGTCACAGCATTAGGAAGCTTGAGTCCCACTGCTTTAGAGCCTATTGCCATGATTCGTTATAACCTCACTTTGGTGATTTACTTAGAGGACCAAGTATTTATTATTTTTTTAACATTAGTTTGGCATGATATCTATAATTAGTGGATTCATGACTAGTTGGATGCTTCATTTTTCTGTCTACGAAGCTCTTCTCTGAAGAGAATCACAGAATATGTGGATCTCAGCCTGAAGATGAGGGGAAGCTCCTGGGGTCTGGCCACATGTGGTACTGAGTCCACAGTATGTGGATATTAGTTTAAGATATGCTACATTTGTTTATGCTGTGGAATATTTGTTTAATGATCCAAAGATGTGTTGCATTCATTTATGTTGCATTTGTTTAACTCTGTAAAGCTGTGTTACTTGTCTGTCTAAAACACCTGATGGGCTAATAAAGAGCTGAATGGCCAATACTGAGGCAGGAGAGAGAAACAGGTGGAACTGGCAGATAGAATGAGAGAAGAGAGAGAATGAGAAAAGGAGAAGGAAAGAAGGATGCCAGGGTCCAGCCACACAGCCAGCCACCGAGTAAGAAGGAAAGCAATAGAATAAAGAGAGGTAAAAAGCCCAAAGGCAAAACACAGTTAAGGAGAGATGGGCAATTTAAGTTAGAAAAGCTGGCTAGAAACAAGCCAAGCTAAGGCCAGTATTCATAAGTAAGAATAAAACTTCGTGTATTTATTTGGGAGCTGGGTAGCAGGCCCCCTAAGAGTAAACAAACAAACAAATAAACAAACACCCAAAAAACAACAGCAAAAAAAAACCCCCAAGTACACCACAGGTCTGAGGGATTCTCTCTGTGGACAAGATGGCCCTGTCCAGTCTGTCCATGGGCCACACAGGGTGTCTCAGCAGAGTATTGGGGAATGAGACACAAACTGCTTTTGTTTCCAGTGGTTGCTTGCACTTGAGATCATGACATTTTATAAGAGGGGCAGCTGCCCTCACCCCAAAATATATATGGGTAAATATATTTTGAAAGCATGTCCTGATATTTTGACCTTTCTGTAAATGACTAATGCC